ACCTATATTGTCTGAATCTTTTGCTGAATTTCAGCCATATTCTTTTTAAAATTCCATTTGGAACAACCTGTATTGGCTGGATCTTTTGCTAGGTTATAGGCTCAATTTTTATAAAGTCATTAATAATAGTACTTTGATTACAACAGTATTGAATAAAGGCTGTAATTAACACTTGAACAAAAGATCCAAACAGTAGCATTGTTTGCATGTACAACAGAACTGATATACAACATTGGTAATTCTCCCGAAATTAGATGGGGTGGGGGGCAACCCAACCATTTTCACAAGTTCTTTACACTTACCTGTCCATTTCTTGGCCATCTTGAACAAATTTGCAGCTCTTGTATACATTTCACATGCTTCTTCCAGCTTCGATGAACCTCTGATATTAAACAACTTAATTACATATTCATGCATCAATGCTGATAAGAAATATTCTTTGTAAAAGCAGTTTGTACAATTTAAAGTTTTAAAACAATATACAAAACAATCAACTCCAAATGCTTTCTTCACATGAATAGACTAACCCCTGATTTGTTTTTTTACTGTAAAATTTAATGGCTCATTCTACCCGCCCAAGTGGTATTTAGTTAAACCAAATAAAATGCTCTTTTAGGTGGATTACTTCAAAAAGATAATTGCACATCATTATTCCAGGCAATTCTTAATTTATTTCAGTTCCAGTTTTTGTTTTATATGTTTAATGCTACCCCTATGAATAAATAAATGTGAAGTTAAGTTTACATCAATATATTTTCTAGTGATATAATCTAAATCCATAAAGCTTTGCTAGAATGATGCTTCAACAACAAGTTTTATAATTAATTACACACACACACACAAAATTATATTTTCATGTCATTACACTATCAGAAATTAAAAACAAAAACTCAAGCCATAAATAAATTTGGTTAAAATAAGTTATGAAAAATCATTTTAAAGATGAATATGCAAAACTTATAAAGTACAAAGTTGTATAAGATGGGAATTTTGCTACAAGGGATGGTTAAAAAATATATATATTTTTTTTTATGGAGACTGTCCCACCTCTAATGGATCTACCATAGGGTGTATTTGCATAAATAAACTTGTTTACCATCACATCCCTACATTTTACTTCTGTACTGAATTTTAAGTGTGTCTACTAGTGTATTTTTCTCATCATATTTCAATGTGAGCAATGTAGACAAGCTACTTATGTCTTGTGTTTGTTCATTTTCATTAGGAAATGTGATATATACTAAAAGATACTTCTTAAAGTATGGTTCTGGCTATTACAACATATGGACAACAAAGGACCACCTGGTTTTTCAAGGCTGTTCCTGCATTCCCAATCTCTAGGAAAAGTAAAAACTTAAACCTACCCTTTATTTTTCAGGAAATTATTAATTCCCCTTATCAACTGTTGTTAAGTGCAGACCTTCATTACTTTCAGTGGCAACACATTCCATAAGCCAATCACACTGTTAGAAAAATAATACTGTTTTGGTTGGAGCCTAGCCTCACTTTTCAGTCTTAAATTTGTGTTCCTTTTGTCCTACTTTTATTGAAATATAACACACAGAAATCAGAAACCTTTATCCTATCAATTATTTCATTATTTCCAGAAGTTGTTATACTAACTGATTAAGCTGAACAAATTTGAATTAATCAAATATAATAACGAAAAAATTATGAAGGCAATATTTGATTACTGGATAGTTGGAATAATCAAAAACAGTAATAATCAGAAAAACTAATTTTGATTAATTGATTATTTTCATAAAATTAATTGATTTAATCATAATTTCAACTATTGGATAGTTGTGATAATCTAAAACAGTAGTAATGGGAAACACTAGTTGATTATTTTCATGATATTAATAATTTTAATAGTAATTTTGATTAATTATTATATGTGATACACAATGATGTAACTGATCATCATACATTGTTGATTATATTGAGTGATCAACTTAATTGCCCAGTTCTATTCAACATGTGATCAAAATTATAACTCAAATGCATATTCATGCAATCACTATTAAAGGTTATTTGCCAAATATTTGTCTAACTAATCAACTGATTCAAGTCATTGTGAGGTATCTCAACACAGCTAAAAATACCCAAGATAATTCATCCATAAACCTTACTAATTTTGCTTCTATCAATACCATTAATGGAAATAAGAAAACACAAAGGGCCAAGTACTGACCAGTGAGGCATTCCACTAGTAACAAGTGTTCATTGTGAATGATTATTAACAAAGTTTTTGTTTTTCAGTTTTCTAACCATCCTAAAATTCAATTTCCTAGTATTTATCCAACCCATTATCAAAAGCTTTTGAAAATTTAAGTGCTTCATGTTTACACCCTTTCCAATCATTGACATAACATGTAATATCCTTGAAAATAAAGTTTAATAAATTAGTAAGAGAATATCTCCCTTTAGTGAAATCATAATGATATTCTTTTATGATATACTTTACAAGATGAGTTTCCAAGCTTCTATTAAACACTCTATAACTTTTCTCATTATAAAAGAAAGACTAATTGTTTATAATTTTTAGGGCAACTCTTACCCTCATTTTTAAGATGGAGCAACATTTGTAATTTTCCAGTCTTTAGACACCCACCCAATGTCTACTGACCTACCAGCAATGAAGGAGAAAAGCTCACATATCTGATCTGTGACCTGATTTAAATTCCTGGGGAATACATTGTTTGGTCATAGTGCTTTATTTATTTTTAATCTCCTAATTTTTATTTTCACCACCATAATTTAAGCCAATCTCAAAATTTCCCATGAAATACTCAGTCAGGAATACTGTTAACATCCTCTCTTGTCATATACACTATTGTTTATGAAAATAAAATGATTTATTTATTCCACAAAATTTACAATTTTTTAAGTGGGGTTTGTTACACTATTTAATAAAATTATTCATTATTTCATTTTGTATATGCTAAAATATACTTAAAAATATTAGAGTCCAGTTTATTCTGTAATAGTTGTTTCCACCAATTAACTGCTATTTCTCCAACCCTTGGATTATTGAGTTCCATGTTGGATTGTTCCTCATTTATGGGCACTTAAAAATATTATTAATAGTTGTTTCTTCATGGTTATAATGGGTGTATCTTCTTGATCATATGATAATCAGTTTTTTTTCCACTCTCGTGAACATTTCCATATTGTTGTTTTGTACATACAATTCTGTTGACTTTGCTACTTTCATCACCAACCAAGTAATTCTTTCTTCTGACTGACTTGTTAATATCTTTATAAAAGTCACAGTGTTTTAAATTATTGATTCTAGTCCACATTACTTGGATTTCTTGCTCAAGCATTTTTTAAGTATCTCTTATAATGCTCTCATGATTTCTTCCAATGAGGCTTTTTCCCTTCATGAATTGCATCACTTCACCATTTCCTACCAGGTTTAGTTGCTTGGTAAGCCATGTAGGTTTTTCACTATGGTCCATTAGTTTCATCCTTTCCTGAAAACAAACCTTTAGGTATCTACTGTCATTTTCAAAATTGTAATAACATATTTGACACTTTTTCTGATCCCTTTATAATCCATACTTATCTATCCTCCTTCCATTCTCCACAAGTAATCAGGTGTATTTCTGTCTAACATAGAATCTTCTTCATATTTTGTTTTGCATTTTTTAAGCTCTTCATTAATATTCCAACCCCAAATTTCCACTCCATACACCAACACATTCGAAATCACTTTTAAAAGCATATATCTTCGTGTTCCACTCTTGTATCCAATTTTCCTTCACTAAACTTCATGCTGTACTGACGATTCTTTCCACTCTGCTGCTTAATGTGTTCCACGATAATATTTTTTGTACAAAATTAAACTCCTAAGTACTTGTACTTGTTGACCACCTTAATAGGCTAACCCTTGTATGTCCACTTATCTTCTTTACTAAGCCTCCCTCCATTATGGAATATCATCATCTTCGATTTTTCCAGATTAATAACTAGATCATTTCTTACCACATATTTTTCACATGCTTTAAACACTTCTCTCGTGTTGTTTCAATGCCAGCCAGTGCAACAATGTCATCCATGAATTTAAGATCAGTTTTTTTTGTTTTTTTTTTTATTTCCAATAACAGTTCCTCCAATATTTCTTGTGATCCATTCATCTTCCCAATCATTGATAAAAGTACTAAATAACACTGGGCTTAACAGATATCTTTGTCTCACTCCTTTTGAAGTCCAAAACTTATCAGATTGTCCTCTTGGTGAAAAGATGACATTCCTTATTTCTTAATAAATACTCTTGATCACCCTGTACAATTCTTCCTCTAATCTCCATCTTTTCACACAGCTTCTTCCTACTGACCTTGTCAAAAGCTGCTCTAAAGTCAATAAAGCATGTATACAATCTTCCTCCCATTCTTCTTAGCTTATTTTCAATTAATGTAATCAACACAAAAATGTTATCTCATGTTGCATAATTGTTCCTGAATCCTGCTTGGTTTTCCTTAATTAGCCTTTCTTTTTTGAGCCAGTCCATGAGCCATGTAGTCATCATGTTGGCCAATATCTTGTACACAGTGTTAAGAAATGTGATTTCTGTAATTCCTTGGGTTACCTTTCTCACCAGTCTTGTAAATTGGCAATTTAGTCCATCCCTCCAACTGTCAGCACAGGTCTCACTATTCTATTTGAGTAGTTGCAAAAGATCCTCTCTCATTTCATGTACAAGTGCCTTAGAAAATTCATTGATTTACATGTTCTCACCCAGCAACTTGCCATTCTTCAGTTTCTTAATTGACTTAGTCAATTCTTCTTGTTTGAATTCAGTGCATCCAATTTGTTATTTTCAAATGGTAACACTCTGTGTTGGAGTTCTTGCCATCAATTGTTGCTACTTGTCTATTCTCATTCTAATAATTGCACAAATTGTTTTCTCTAGTGGTGTGTAGTTTTTTTTAACCTCTTGCTTCTTAGGATGCTTTCTAAACTTAACATGTTGCCAGAAGAGTTTGCTGTTCTTCTTGATCTCCTTCCAAATCTTTTCTTTCTTCTGAATTTGCATTTTCTAATATCTCTTCCTGAGGTTTCTTCTTGCTATAATATAATGGGTCCTACCAACTTCTTTTCTTGTCTTCCTAAATTGTCTCAGTAATCTTCTCACCAGTCTGTTCCTTTGCTTTTATTCACTATCCTAGAAATGCTTCCTTTTAGTTCTTGTCTTATGTTTGATCCTAATTTCCTCATTGCTCTTCTTAAAAATTTCATTGAGGACCTTTATTCTCCTTCCCATATCTTTCTCATTTTCCACTAATCACGTCCCAGGTTAGCCATGAATTATTGTCTATTAATTGAATTCCATTTACAATACCACTGAGCCATAAAGATATCTTTCTACTCATGTCC